CTGACTGATGAGGTTATGCTTTCCCAGTGCATTGGCACCTGCCATTGTGTTAACCACAAAACCGGTAGGCAACCCAAGTCTTCCGAGCATTGTCTAGAAACCACCCTTAGAGGTTCCAGTAACCTGCGCAGGTGCCAGAGGGTGCCTTGTTATTGAGAAAGGAAGTGCTTCCTCAGGGGAATCAGTCATAAAGTGTAGTTGCAAGGGCCATGAAGGCACAACCAGCAAGACCCACACCTCGTCCACTGTGACCTCTGCGAGCATTGTCACTGGGGAAAATGCATAGTGCGTAAGCCTGTGGACAGCAAATCTGTTAAAAAGCAAATTGGAATAAGACAGACTCACGAGAAGCAACAGAATGACCTGGGCTTCACTGAAACGCACCCATTTCAGCAGGACCGCGCTGGGGTGGAATTTCCATTTTACAGGGGGAGTGAGCTGCCGTACGAGCACGTAGGCAGTCATGGTCGAGCTTGCCTGGAATAAGAAGGGTGGGCAGTAATTACTAAGTTATGAGCACAAAAATATAATTTCATGGGGATAGAAATAACATTTGTAAAATGTGAAAAACAACATATAAAGAACTCATACATGTTTAGAAAGATTTTTTTTTAATTATCAATCAACAGGACCCAAAATATACACACCATGTTAACCACTACCCTTGGCAGTGTAGATTCTGGTCATGAGAGAAACGGATAACCCACAGGCCTTGAACAGGGGTCTCAGCTTATCAATCCAGGTTGAGGCGGGATCTCCAACACTACCACCGAAGCAGCCCGGGAAAGCATCTGCACAGTCATCTGACTCTGGTGTCATCTAGCAGAAGAGTGGGCATCCCGGGGGATGAACAGCCAGATAATGTGACAGATAAGCCCCCACTGGGATCCTCAGATCTGCCCCAGTGCTCACCGCTTTCAAGGGGGACAACAGGTTGGTTTGCTCTCTTGCAAGTGCAAGCCGTGATCCTAGCTGCGCTACAGACATGCCCTCACAGTGAAAGATTGAGTTGTCTTTGAACACCACATCAACATGCTGGAGCCCCAGACCTGTGATGCAGCGCCCTTGCCCTTCATCTGGAGATAGGAACCACCACATCCAGAAAGGCACGCTCAGAACAGTGTCTTGAAAACAGAAAAGTGTCTCAACCGCCACTGCTTGCGTCATCAGCCACACTGGATACATAAAGCTTGATTTCTCAGGATTCAGCTTAGCACATGTCATCTCCTCAGACGCTCTATGAAGCTGTTTGAAGCTAAAAGTCTAAGCACTCACCTCCAAGGGCAGGTTACATACTCTACTAATGGCTAATTACCAACACCTGTGGAGCTGTGCTCTGCTAACGCACAGACTAAGACATAAGCTGCGTCCCAAATCGCATACTTATGCACTATTCTACGTCATTTTGTAGTATAAATAGTGCAAGTAGTGTGTTCACACTGAAAACTCTAAAAATAATAAATGCACTTTGATTACCCGGATGATGCCCTCATTCAGCCGCTAAAATGAAGTGTGGAATGATGGACACTTCACGCACTCAACGACTGCAGGTTTGCTTACGTAGCGGAAGGGGCGGAACTATAGGATGCACATGTTGAATAACTTTATTTATTTTGGATGGTGAAAGCAAAATTCTCCTACGAGAGTGATTATAGCGCCTCCCGATGGTGAATGCGGTTATACTCACGGCAGGTATTATTTGATAATTTGGTTGTTTATTTCACTGATCTGGCAACCGTCAAACGTCATCAGGGAAACGGTTTGAATTTCCGCTTAGTAAAAAAACATTAGTGTGCCATTTGGGACGACACTACATACATATACTATCCTGTTGAGTGTGTAAGTGCATAAGTACATAGTGCATGAGTGCATAGTGTTTAGTGTGCCATTTGGGACGCAGCTATAGACATTTTCAATTTGAAACTCAAGACAGACAAAGTCAAATTAGCACTATGGTGCAAAGTGTCTTAATTTTCAATGCACAGGGAAAAAGAATCCCCCAAAATAATATCCAGCAAAATACTAAATAAATATTTACAATAAAAGTAGCACTTTGGCTAACATTACTTTTTTCAAATGAAGAAAGACCATTACTCGATTTACTGCTCCATCCTACTCCACAACCTTGCTCCTACACTCCACACCATACTGTGCTCACCCTGCTTTTTTAGTAGAGTGACTGGTATGGAATGGCTCATACCATCACAACAGGTATGTATCAGGTAAGTATATTCATAAACATTCTTTTGTTCAGTATTTTGATACATGTATACACCACATTTGCATACTATAGACTTTTTCATCTTAATTATTGTTTTCTATATTGTCTGGTTTATATAAACCCCTTTTGCTTAATTGTCCCTCACAATCTTTACTCCCTGTACATAAAACAAATAGGATCTCAAATGTACCTCTCCCTGAGAACTATTTATTTTGAACAATGTGTTTTTTTGTTTTGTGTTGTTTACTGACTGCTTTGTAGTGTATATAATTTTTATCACTATGTTTATGGTTTTTGAACAAAGGTAAAACTGTTTTGGGGCAAAGGTTTTATTTTGCAAGAGGAATCTGAGGTTTATATACAAATAAAGCGAAAGCTGAGTGTGTGTTCATCTGGACTACTGTGTAGACTGAGTTATTGAGTGTCCATAAAGTTAATTATACAACAGTATACAATATGTATACAAAATGTACCATAAATTCAATATACTTACAGTTTGTGGTTCTTTGCATGTAGAATACCTTGTTGTTACCCCCTTATTACCCAAACAATAGTTTCTTCTTTAGCACTTTATAGAAAAGTACACCATGAATTCAATATACCTTTGCCGTGCTTTGCAAGTTGCATATCTGGTTGTTACCGCCTTATTATTCACTAATTACAGTTTGTTCCCTTATACCTACATATACGTTCTTTGTACTCGTGCCATTATTTCACTGTACTTGTGTGGTACTTTATGGGTTGCATGTGTCTAAAGCATTAGCAAAACTTCTTGTAAGGCAGCCACAATAAAACAAACACAACACTTTTCTCCAATAATACACGCAGCCTTTTATATGTAAGCTGAGACTGCATATCTCGTAGATGATATGTCGGACACATTGCACTCTATAAAGCTAGTGATTTCACTGTAGGGGTTAAGAGTGGGATTAGGTGAGCACATTTAAGCATTGCATGCAGCAGCTGCATCCAGTCTGCATCATCTTCCTGGCACCTTTATCTTACAGTCAACTGAAACACACGGCTTAAGAGAATTGAGTTCATACATTTATTACAATCACTTTCCTTCAGCTTCTTTACAAGGGGTTGCAAAAACATGCGATGAAATAAATGTAAATTATTTTTAAATGCTTCTGCAAACTTTCTTTAGCAATATTTAGCAATAGACAACTGAACCTGGACAAGAACACAGAAATACAATCAGTTATAAAAAAAAAAATTAAAAAAAACATTATACAGCTTCATGTTAGTCACATACTTATTTTTCATGTTTAAATTAAGTAATACTGTTTGTACTGTATGTACAACAGAGCCTGAATGGAGTGTGAGATAGTTTGCACCCACTTTTTAAAGTTAAACAAACCAATGCAGTATTTGCCACAATGCAGTACTCAATAAAATTGCTTTCAGTGCAACAAGTTTTATCAATTTCCAACAGCTTTTAATTTACAATATTTTAAAAACTTCTTTCAATCTACATTTAAAAGTTACACTTTAGGGATTTATTTGTTGTTGCCATTGTTATATCATTTCAAGTAGAATGGTGACCCTAAATTATTCCTGCTTGCATAGTTCTACATCCCAGTGCATATAACAGCTCTTAATAAAGCTAAATAAATGTTATGACCATAGACTGTAAAATATATGGACGTAGTATCCGTCATCACACCCACGGTGGGATAGCAAACAAGGGCAAAGAGGCGGAGAGTGAGTGGAGCTACAGACACCTGCTGGCATTTTGCTTGGACCTGGTTCAGACACACTTTACTTTGGGAGAACGCTTAATACTATCACCTGTGACTCGTTTGTATTCTGACCACTTGTGCTTTGTTGTATACTATATCAATAAAGTGTTTAGACTTTTAAAAACACTGCTATAACACATTGAGCCACTAAACATCGTTCTTATGATGTTTTTCAACAGGAGGAACACGCAAATTATTTCCAAACACTTCAGATATAGTCTGTGTTAGTTAATGTAAGACTATTGATGAAATCCAGCATAACACTGTATGACAACGCTTCAGATGACTGTTCTAGAGCCTACAGCTAATCAATTCGTCAGATTCTGGAGTGCATTACAGCTCTAAATATAAATATAAACGATAAATGATCTTAAATAAAACAAAAACATCTATAGAGATGGTATATAAGTATATAACTTTACTCGCATGGGAAACGGAGGCCACGTGAATGGTTTGTGAGCACACTTAAGTGCACTCAGCATGCCATGCCATCTAATAATTGTAGGAAACAAGTCCAAGAGGCAGTTGACAGTGTAAAGCCACATAAAACAACACAGACATACGATAAATATGCCGAGTTCAGTGGCTAATCTGCAGGATTCAGCTGAGGTGACATGACGGCGACCAATGAGACCTAGCTTTCACTCAAGTGGCCACTCCCTTAATTATGCAAACTTAATATAACTTAATATAAAAGAAACGGATGAGTTATAAAAAAATTCACCCACCTCACAGTTGTCATGAAGGGTAATATTAGTTGTATTAACCAAAATCTTTTTTTGTACCAGGCTGTAAACACCTTTTTTTCTGCTGTAAAGTTGGCCATTCTAACAGTGGGCTCAATTGAAATTTGCTCTATTTTGAAGCCAGGAGCAGCCAGGACTAGCGGAACTTCGGATGAATTGCAGTTTTAGTTACTTCCGTATTGGCTTCCTGAGGGAGAGTGGGAGGTTGGCGCTTGGTTATGACAAGTAGATATAAAAAAACAGGGTAGATTTGTTTCATGCAAGCAACATTGCCAACAAAGGTAGTTGATGGGCACTGTACTTTTCTTTTTGCATAAGTCAATAGCTAAATTTGCATTGTGTGATACTGTGTTAAGCTATAGGCTATTTTTGTAAAGCATTTTAAATAAATTGTTTAAAAATATATATTTGATATGGTGATTTGATATGACTTTCAACAATATTAACAGTACTTTACAGTATTGACACTAAAATAGTATAAGTGCTGTATTAAATGTTAGATCGTGAAAGTCATAGCTGACATATTTAATATGGAAATAATGATAGAATGTCACTTCATTTCCTGGCCTGGACCCTGGACTAAACTTTCCCCAGTGTTTTCTGAGGTCCAATTGATGTTCTTGGGTTTGAGTCCACAGCAAAGAGATGTAAAGAGCTTCCTGTACTCTTGCCTGATCTGAAAAAAAAAATTAAAAATGAGAGTATTTAAACCTCTAGCTAAACATATTCACATTTTATTTCCCAACTGAAAAATCCTTGATAGCACTTTGATTTTTGTATATAGTATGATTTATTTATCAGAGCATTTGCTCATCAGCAAAACATCTATTTGATGTCTATTTTAAATGTTAATAGATGTTTAGAATCTAACTAGTTTATTTCTTAAATTTCAAATGTTCGCACAGCAAAACTTTTACAGATGTTTATTAGCCATTTGAGCACAGAAAATGTCATCAAGACAATAAAAAAAAAAAGATCTTGCAGACATACTTGTTCTACCTGCTATATGCTTAATATAACGAGAGCGATAACTTTGTGTTAGAGTGTGATATCTGACCCCTTTATTGAGGACGCAGTAGATGAGGAAGATGAAGGTTCCCTGCTGGGAGTTCAAGATCAGGAAGAGGATCTCCAGCACTTTACTGCTATTAGTGAAGAAACCCAGAATCCAGGAGCAACCGAGAACCACAAACTGAGCCAGGGTTTTCAACATTATAATCCTACAGAGGAATCAAGAGTTAATCTTTATTGTCCTCTTAATATTAACTATAGAATGATCAAATCATAATGTTTGTTACTTAGTTTGCTTTAATCGTGAAACGTCAGCGTTCAGTTTTTTGAAGGCTGACTTCAAACTGATTCCGATGCTGATGAAGAGAATTATGTTTAACTGCAGAGTAAAAAATAAACTGTATTAATCACATTGTTTTCCTTATAAATAAAAGTCATGTTATAAAAATAAACATGGTTACAGCTATTATGATGGTAACAGGTCCCAAAAAACTCCAGATGAAGCCTTTATCTATTTTAATCCAGCATCTGTTTGGAGAAGGATGCAGTCAAATGAACACTGAACACAAACATGGATGATGAAAATGTTTAGAATTGAATCATTTGAAGTAAACTCACTTTTCACTTCCGTAGCCGTTGGGAACCACTGCCGCAGAAATGCCCACCACAACCAGAGCAACCACATATCCTATCACAGACATGAATCTGTGGCGAAGCACTTCCTTCTTTTGGGAGCTGATCTGGGATAGGTTCTTCACACAGATGAAGAGCAACACAGCTTCAATGAACATCCACACAAAACCGGAGAGAAAGAGGAAGTGCAGAAGGCCTGATATCAGCGCACACAACACCTGGGGAGCATGACAGATGGTTATAATGATTCTCAATACAGACTGCATAAAATCAAACTTTACAGTATTTATTTTGCTAGCTCACATTGATATTCTTAAGGTGAATAATTAGTCCATGCAAATGAATGCATGGGGAAAAGAAAAACATTTTGAGTGGAGATCCTTTCATATTGACATCAACTTGAAAGCTTTCATAGAAATCAATAAGTTCTTCTCAGGGATGTGTTCTTTCTTTGTTATTATTTTATATACTAATGATTGTAGAAGTATATCCTGAAATTTGCAGATGACACTGTCATTATGAATCCGCTGGTAAATGAAGAGATTTCTCATGGACCTCTGGTGGAAAATGTTTCTTGGTGTGCAAATTACAGTCTTAATCTAAATATAGCAAATACCAAAGATATGATGATAGATTTTTGGAAGACTGCTGTTATCGTTTTACCTACTGTCATTAATTGGAGGGACATTGAACTTGTGGATGAGTACAGATATTTGGGTACAGTAATTAATAGATAATTACAGTTTAAAGTTAACAATGAGATCATTTGCAAAAAGGTCCAACAGCACTTGTTTTTCTTTTGAATTTTTTTAAAGGGTGACAAAACACATTTTTTGAGATGTTGACAGACATGTATATGTCCCACGTTGTGAAACACGCTTTTAGGATATTTATGTCAATAAAAAGTGAAAATTGGTTGTTATTGCGTTGTTTCAAGCAAATTCATTCTTTCGGTTTGAAAAGAAATTTTTAAGTAACATCACAGCAATGAGATCCCTGTATAAATTCCAGCATGAAGATTGCAAGTCTGTACCGGCCGGTACAAAGTAAAGTCATTGAGTTGAGCATATCTGTTCATTAATTCATAAGAAAGACTTGGTTCAAATGAATCAGCACGCTCTATTGTGAATGAGATGCATCTTCCTTAATATGCATGACATAGCTATGAGGACTCCTTTTACCCGTTACAATGTTCAGAGAGATGTCACGTTGTGTTGCCAACCGTAATAAAAACAAGTGGAAAAAAAGAAGACATGGGTTGACGATGTTTTGTTTTTAAATGTGCCGAAACAAAAGTTTTTTTTTTATTTCCCCATGATGAAAGCACAGCTCGCGTGAAGACTCAAGCAGTTGGTTTACAGTGGTCAGTTTGTAATAAACATTTATTACCTGAGAGCTTTTTGAATCTGGAAATAGTGAAATCCGGATTTGCCACTCCAATGCGGTTCCAGTTCGCGTTGATTGTCCTGTCTCTACGGATTTGGTAAATGTGTGAACAATGTTCATTGTTTATGTTTCTCCAGATGGCAAATTTATTAAGAGTACTTTACTTATTTATCAAGAGTACTCTCAGTTTTTGAAGACATTACTTAGTGAAATGGCTGAAGTTACTAACTAGTTTAAAGTAATATTACTACAGTATTAAACGACTTAATGCTGTATGTGCAATTTCTTCAGGAACTATTTGTTAAAATATGTAGTATGTCTTCACAAAATACGTTTCCTTTTGAATTGAGTCTGGAGCAGTTTTCACAAGAACAACTCCATTTCTTCAACACGTCCACACACCCTTTCTTTTTTTCAAACTAGAGATGCAAAAATAAGAACTAGAGGGGTTTCGTGGCCCTTTATACTATGCTTAGGCTCCATTTCCACCAATACGTTTTCAATTTGAAACAGCGCTTTAGAATGAAAATGATTCACTTTCCACGTTTCATCTAGCATTTCTGAAAAGCTCTCTCTACTCTCGTGTCTGAGCTCCAGGCAGTCAGTGGGACCTCTGAGGATAACTGCCTGGCTGAGAGCAGCAGAATGTTAGCCAGTCCATCTCAAATCTGCCGATGGATCTCAAATCTCTGTAGCTGTTAAATGCAATCTAGAAATCATCCTGTGTACCTAAATCTAACAAGTCAGTCATTTAAAACTATTAGCCTACTTGTTCTGAGGTAACGTTTTGGTTGAGCGCAAAAAAAAGCTAAAATACCTATTAATTTGTGTAATGACATACAATGATTCTGCACATTTGACTTGCCTTTTTTCCTATATATATTTTACTAACTGATTATTATATTCAGCAGAAAGAGATGGCTATTTCATATTTCACCAGGCATTTCCTCTGATAATCTTTATTTTATGCATAAAGCCTGATATTAAGCACATATTGCCAATGTTTTGTACTTTTCAAGGACAATGAAAGAAGGCAGGCCCCATTTTGTTATAAATTTGCATGCAGTCAAGATGATGGTCATTTAGCCTAAATATGTAAATTTTTGGTGTCTGCTGTTTTTAAAAAATTAAAAGAGACATTGCTTCATGTCATGTTTTTATTTTATTGTTAAGATGGTTAGATAAAACGGTGAATGACGTTATAAAAGTACACTGCCGTTACGGGTAAAGATTTACCGACGTGTCCTCAGACGTTTGATATGTCTGAACTTAGGAAAGGAAAGGATGAAAGTCTGAACTTTTTTAGGCTACTTGAGAAAAAGCCTCAATCAGGTAGCGTAATTGTCAGCAGCCACGCCTCCCTTTCAGATGATTTCGTTTTCCCCCATCCACAATGACACAGCAGCAGCATTTTAAAACCAAAACGCTCTATTTTTGGGGATCGAAAATTCTGGGGTAGTGTGATGGAATGCGTAACCATAGCAAAACTTATGCGTTTTAAAACCAAAACATATTAGTGTAAATGGGACCTTAGTGTTGATGACTTTGTTCTTTGCTAGTGTGTTATTGTCACTGACTCGGTCAGAGTCATTCCCGGTGGTCACCATCACTGGACTTCTAAACATTACGTCATCCTCAGACACTGCTTGCAACACACCTGCAGCACATCTCACTGATCACCACACACACATATAAGCAGCCCAAACACTCACTTCAGTGTGGAAGTCTTGTTCTGCCCTTGCTGACATTTCTGAGTGTTCATATCCTTGCCTGATCTCCCTGTTATTACCTGGACTGTCCCTTGACCTTGCCTTGCCTGCCGCCTGCCCTGAACCCTGCATTGTACCTCGACTTTGATCCACGCCACCTGCCTCGAACCCTGCCTTGTATATCGCCTTTGATCCTCGCCGCCTGCCTCTGACCCATGCCTGCTATCACTATCCTTGACAGCCAGCCGCCAGACTATCGACCCAGTATTGCTACGTTTGATGCGAGTTCGCACGCTAGTGCTTACTGTGTGATTGTTATTAAACTGTGTTCAATAAATATACTGCAAATGGATCCCTCTGTGTCAGACTCCTCGTTACAGTTACTGTTTTGTTTAATTGCATCAGCTGGTGTAATGGAAACAGATTGACCAAGCTGATTAAGACTGCATCCAATACACTTATTTTACGCAGCCGCCATTTTAAAACATGAAAGCGAGGCTGCGGTGGAATGAAACCCTGAAATATAGGATCAGGACTGTAAACATTGCAACAACATGCCATGGATTACAAACCTCCAGCTGTTGCCGCGATTTCAAAATGCAGATTTGGTTTAAACATCACTTTAATATCATTGTTATCGTTCAATTAAAAGCATATTAGACATTAAACAAAACCACAACCTTTTAAAAAGTGTCCTCCCAGGCTTCAGTTCATAACACCAAGGGGACTTTCCTGCTACAGCCTATGTAACCCGGTGAGCAATAAAACAATTCAGTCCTCTGTGGCACACCCTCGTGTTGTCTGTAATAGTGTTGTCCCGGTACTGAAGTTTTAAAAACGTCCATTTCCTGCTAACATTTTAGTTCTTAAACACAACTGATTTGCCATAGTGTTCACCAGTGCTCAACAGAAATAACTGATTCGCCATGAAGGTCATAAGTTCACCACTTATCACCAAATACAAACACAGATACAGTACTGTACATGGACACTGGGGCGTTTAAAGCTGCAAAGATCAGTCAATTGCTCGTCTTGTGTTTGTTGTGAAACTGCGTCACTACTGTTCAGCACTGGTGAATACTATGGCAAATCTGCAGTGTTGCGTTCAACAGCGCTTAAATGTTAGTGGGGAAATTGCCGTTTTTTTATTTCAGTACTGAAATTCATTATCATGACAAGTCTAATATAGTGAAAGAATCAGTTCATTAACTTAAGTTTGATATATGGCCTCAATAATGTGCGTTTGGGAAAGATAATGAAATTATACATTTGTGTCACTTTCTTTTCGCTGATAAGTCAGGTACACAACATTCCTGTCTGTCATTCCAGTCACCACAGCCTCGATTTCGATTTTGAAATGGCGGCCGCTTGAAATCAGCCATTGGAGCTCAACACACATTGCTCCAAGATATTTTTAGATAATGGGTGGCTAAAAAAAAGCTTTTACAATAATTAATTCTCCATCTCATCAATTGCACAAGGAGCTTGTTGTATTTCCTTCAAGCCATAGGTTTAGCAAAAGGGGAAAGGATATTTAAAAATTTATTTATACCAACAGTTATTTCAACTAAAATCTACTACTAGTACATTTGCTGGAATGTAAGTTTATTTGAAGGATGGATATGGATTTTAATTTACCTAAGCCCCCTTTTTTAAACTTAGAATGTTTTTAAATTATTAAATGTGAAACTTTTCTGTTTTCTGTTTTTGAATATTTGTGTGACTTTGTCAATCAGTTGTCTCACCTGTGCAAATCAAATTTTCTAAGGAATGAATAACTTAACCTAACCTAATCTAACCTAACCTAACTCTATATAAATCTCCCTAACCATGCCCCCCTCCCCCCACCCTTCCCGTTAGTTTGAAATGAGGGAATGATGCAGCAATGAAATCCCCACCTCTAAGTATCATTACATTTTAGCTAGAGAGACACTTGCATACTGAAATAAAATCTCAGCAGCTTCTGGTTTACACAGACTTTAAAGCTTTTCTGATTTGAAGGGTTTCTTTTTCATTCTTACCTGCTGACGGCGAATGAGGTTGAGGAACTGTTGTGTGAGCAGGAGCAGGAGGTGAGCCAACAGCAGACTGATGCAGATGTTGATTCTGGCCACATTATTCACTCCAGGACTCCACTGACAAAAAGCAAAGGTCAACAAGGCCAAACTGAAGAACAGCAGCCCCACGATCACACACACCACATTCAGCACATTCAGCAGAGAGTCACTCTGAGGAAACATGTCAAAGAACACAAGTGCCAAATTCAATTAATTTCAATTTCAAAACCTTATTGTTCATTTCTGATGGGGTTAGAAAATTATCTTAAGGCAAATGACACAAAACAATACATATATAATAAAAAATAATTTACATCATGCCCTGCATTCACACCAGTTCCAAATCACCCTTGATTGCACACATACAGCAGAAGATGTTCAGGAACTAATCAGATGGACTATAAACACAGCACCAGTGACTTGTTAACCCATATGTAAGCATTACAAAACGTTTCCTTGTCTTGCCTTTCTGTGTTTTTGACCTTTGCATTATGTGGTTTTGCTGCCTGTACTGTGTAACGGATGTGGCCAATCAGAAACATATTTATTTTGCTTTATTCAACAAATAATGCATTGTCACCCTCTCCTATCCAAAAAAGACCAAATGGTCAGTGTGTAAGCCAATTTCAAAGGTATTTATGACACGAAAGGATTGCGCTTGGAAATGGAAAGAGACATGGTCAGGCTCCTATACAACTTGCTTAAGACTAATGTAAGACTAGTCGATACTATTGAAGTCCCCTTCAAATTATTCTTCAATTCACTTAGAGCTAATTTGCTACACCAACCATTTGGCTGTCTATATCGATCTCTCTCTAGATTACCTTCTCTAGATTTCTCCAGTCTGTTCCTGTTTTGACCTTGCCTGTATGACCATCCCAAAAAAGCTGCATTTGGATCATAACCTATGTTGCCATTCCAATTCTTTAAATTTTCACAATAATGGAGGTTCAAAAAATTAAAAATCTCTACAATAAATAAACCAGTGAGAGGTGTTTGTCTCTCTCCAATTATTTTACTGGTCACACTTTATTTTGATTGCATCTACATGCCAACTAATTCTCATTCGATTATAAGTAGACTGTTAGGTTGAGGTTAGGGTAAGTGTAAGTTGAGATGTACTTGCAAAGTTTCTATTAGTCAGTTAAATGTCTTTTGAAGTAGCAGTATCAGCAGATATTAAGCAGACAGTCTACTAATACTCAATTAGACTATCAAAATAAAGTGTCATCATTTGACTTGCTAAACATACGATTCTTTAAAATTTGTTGTTACTTCAGTTAAACAAGTTAAACGCGTAAACATGACTACAATATTAAAAGTTTTATCAAAATATGAAATATTACAATAATAAAAGTTTAATTTAGTTTACTTCTTTCACAACAATGGAATTCTGCACTTTGCCAGATGTTATATAAACTATAAAAATAGAATTTGAAATAGAAATAACACTACAATAGAGATCTGCACGGGACAAAATTTTTGGTGAGGGGAACCAAACCAAAACCACCCAGCTATACAGAATCCAGACAGCCTATAACAAGCTGTCTGTATAAACACACACACACACAGCAACAAGCAAGTGACACACAGACAGCATCACACTCTCTCTCATTTACACACACACACACACACACACACACACACACACACACACATCGACAGCAACAAACAAGCTAAACACAGCATCACGCTCTCTCATTCATACACATACATACACGTGCTTGCTCGCCTGGGAGTCGGTAGCGATATTGTTAGACTCCCATTTGATTTACACCAGTTACAGACCACTCCTGTACTTTATTCGGAAACTTATTCTTACACCACAAGAAATCTGGTCAGGTCCCACGGCTGTACCAATGCAGACCACTACTACAATGTATGCACAATGTGCACGGCTTCAATAAGTAATTTGTATACAACAATCAAAATGTTCTTGTCAGTATTTAAAATCCTTAGTTTCTCAACAAACCTAAATGTTGCTGAGACTTTTTAGACTTTTCAGAGCTCATTGGACAGGTACCTCTGGTGGATGACTGCTGGTTTGCATGATGACAGCAAATGTGGACAGATGAACACAGGAACACACCGTGAAGCTTTTGTTGGTGCTTAACACAGAACAACCATCTACAATCCACTCGCTGATTTTCCAGTACACACAGTGCATTGAACCACTGGAGTCAAACTCCTGAGAAAACAACCAACAAGAAAATAATTTGAGTGAATATTAGATGTTTCCATCTGCTCACATCTGCTACAAAACACATTTCAGTCTCTCACTCTGATGTGTCTGAAGGTGAAGTTGACTGGTTTGCTGAGTGCAGTGTTGGTAGTTTTGGGAAGAGTCACTGAGATCACAGAGGACATCATGGTGTTAACTGAATCATTTGTTGCGTTGAAGAAGTCGGCCTTCAGTAGATTTTCCATTGCGGTGTAGCCCAAAAAAATCACAGCAGCTGATCACATGGGACAGAAACAGATGCATAAATGCAAACAACAATAAAAAAAAGCTGTATAGCAGGGGTGCCCAATCCTGTTCCTGGGAATCTTTCTTCCTGCAGAGTTCAGCTGCAACCTTGATCAAACACACCTTTCATTAACTACCAAGTGCTCCTACAGGCGCCACTTAGACCCTGTCCACACGAAGACAGCTATTTTCAAAATATTGCTTGATGTTATACTTACAAATTCTCCTCATTACTATTCTACAGTTGGAATATTTAGTAATGAGGTTAGTGATCATTGTACAATTACATGTGTCAGAAATGGTAAACTACCTAAAATAAGCCAAAATGTGACATCTTTTGGTGAACAAGCATTTTTATATGAATTGTATGATAGTGAAGTGTCTCATGTATGTGATATAGCAGATGTTGGTCTGGCATGGAATTATTTTATGGATTTTTTTTTTTTTTTTTTTTTGCTTTGATTAATAAGCATACGCTAATGAGAAAAAAATCGAGTCTGTGGTGAAGATAATCCTTGGTTTATCACTCTTGTTTCATTGTCTATCAGAGAAAGAATTATTGCTTGGACCAAGGCAAAAAAACAAAAACAAACAAACAGCGTTAGTGACTGGGTCTAATATAGGACATTAAGGAATAAATGTACTAAAATGAAACAAAATGCAAAAAGTCTATTTTAATATGATAAACAGACATTTGCATGATCCTAGCAAATTTTGGAAACTGATAAAAATCAACAACTGTGACTACCAGCCTAATTTTCTCAAACTCCAAGTACAGTATGTTTTCGCCTCACGATATCAGACGTCACAAATTCTGAAGCAGTATTGGGTCAAGTGCTTTTCTGTTTGATCACTTGAGAAATCAACATGTATTATTTTTTGTTTCATTGCTAAATTATTAGGTAATTTCTAATTGCTAAGACTGTATTTCTACAGCTCAACATTCGTGTTCATGTAAGTAAGTAATGTGTATTTATATAGCACATGTATTGTGTATGGCCATAGACCTAAATACATTTACAGTCTTGAGGGTGGTTTCTCCACACCACCACCAGTGTACAGCATCCACTTGGATGATGTGACGGCAGCCACAGAACAATGGCGCCAATGTTCTCATCACACACCAGCTATTGGTGGAGTGGAGAAACAGTGATAGAGCCAATTTGGTGGATGGGGATGATTGGGGGCCATGATCAGTAAGGGCAAATTGAGGCCAGGACACTGGGGTTACACCCCTACTCTTTAGAAGAAGTGCCATGGGATTTTAAATGATGACAGATAGTTAGGACCTCGGTTTAACATCTTATCTGACCAGGCTCAGCCCTGCTTAGATTCTGTGATTAACTGGTCTTGGGCTGCAGGGTAATGTGGCTGTGGCCCATGTTCATCATTCCATTTTAACTGAAATAAACTTTTAATAAAATGAAAGCAATTTATTTATTTATTTATTTATTAAATTTATATCCAAAATGGAAGCACATTAAACAAATAACAGAGTAACTGTTAAAAGAAGTGATTATAAAACTATTTATACCCAGGCTATACTAGGCATATGCCCAGCAAACATTTAGACGTTTGATTACCATTAAAAAGATGGTAATCATATGGATGTTCCTCAGTCACATCCAATTATGGAAGAAAAAGAGTTCCAAATTACAAATCCAACATTGTGTCTTTGACATCATATGGCTGTAAACGGCACATCTTTTTAGCATGGTGCGTGCATGTCTAAATATGTAATCTTCTGGACGTTAGTATTGTTCTGCTTAATTTAAGTGTTATATTCACCTAAACACTTCATATACAACTGCCTAGTTTGTACAAAAAATTGTTAAAGTTCTTAAAAGGCACTAAATCGGTCCAGTTGAACCTGAACATCTGTATAATGTTGTAATAACAACAATAATGTAATTCAAACAATGACAGATTTGTGCACTTTTAGAATAACTTTTTTCATTGTGCAAATACAAAAACTGTATTATAACCAATATATAAACATGCAGCAATGTTAAGAAAAAAATATTTTTAATTAATGAAACATAAATACATATTAATTAATTAATTAATTGATTGATTAATTAATTAATAAAAAATGTGCCAATGGGTCGGAGATAAGTCCCTCACTGTGCTCATCAGCCAAACATCAGTGCAGAGAACCTGGCCTTCTTGGAGTCCTTGTAAAAGGTGCAGGAAGGTGTTCAGACTGAGGACTCAGGGACATTTTTCTACTTGGGGAGTTCAATGCCCACATGACAGTGATACCTGGAGAGGTGTGATTAGGAGGAACGACCTCCCGGATATGAATCTGAGTGGTGTTCTGTTGTTGGACTTCTGTTTTAGTCACAGTTTGTCCATAACAAACACCATGTTTGAGCATAAGGGTGTCCATCAGTGCACTTGGCACCAGGCCTGCGGTCGATGACTGACTTTGTAGTTGTGTCATCTGATTTTCCACCATATGTCTTGGACACTCAGGTAAAGAGAGGCCAGAACTGTCAACTGACCACCACCTGGTGGTGAGCTGGATCTGCAGGTAAAGTGGAAAGCTGGTCAGACCTGGCAGGCCCAAACGTCTCTGACACCATTGTTGATGCAGAATTGAGGAGCTGTAGCTGCAAGGCCTGTGGTGCCCATCGTGGCAGCAATCCACAAACTCAGTGTTGGACATCAGAAATAGGGGATGCTATCAAGCTAAAGAAGGAGTTCTACCAGGCTTGGTTGGCTTGCCAGACTCCCTATGCAGCTGATGGGTACCAACGGGCGAAGTGTGTTGCACCCCTGGTAGTTCTGGAAGCAAAAACTTGGGCCTAGGAAGAGTTAGAGGATGACCAGTCAGCCTCAAAAAGATTTTGCTAAACTGTCTATCAGCTCAGGAGAGGAAAACTGGCACTGTTTACAGTGGAAGTGAGGAGCTGATGAACCTTAAATGGGGATGTTGTCGAATGGTGGAAGGAATACTTTGAGGATCTTCTCAACCACACTACAAATTAAGGAAGCAGAGATCTCTCCAGGTGAGGTCATTAAGGTAGCAAGCTTTGCAGTGGCTAAGCAGTGGGGATGGATGAGATACACCCTGTGTATCTCAGGTAGCTGTCTTGGCTGACATGTCTCTACAATATTGCATGTAGTTTGGGAACAGTACCTATGGGCTGAGCAATTGGGGTGGTGGTTTCTGTTGTTAAGAAGGAGGATCACAGAGTGTGCTCCAACTATTGGGGGATCACACTCCTCAACCTCCCTTGAAAAGTCTATGCCAGGGTACTGAGAAGAGGATCTGGCTGATGGTTGAATTTCAGATCCAGGAGGAACAATGTGGACTTTGTCCAGGCTGTGGTACATCTTTGCTAATTGCAGATGATGTTGTTCTGTTGGCTTCATCAGACATGGACCTTCAACATGCACTGGGGCAGTTTGTTGCCAAGTGTGACACAGCACCTCCACGTTTAAGGCCTTTGTGGCTTGCCATCTACAGGGTGGAGGAAAGTCCTTATCCCACGCGGAGGAGTTCATGTAATCTGGGGTTTTGTTGATAAGTGAGGGAAGGATGGAGCGTGAGGTTGACAGGCAGATCTATGCAATGGCAGCAGTAATGAGGTCAATGTACCGGTCCATTTTGGTAAAAAAGGAGCTCAGCTGAAAGGAAAAGCTCTCGATTTACCGGTCAATCCACATTCCTACACAAACCTATGGCCATGACTGAATGGACAAGTTCTTGGATACAAGCGGCCAAAGGTAGTTTCCTTTGCAGAGTGGCAGCGCACACCCTTTTAGATAGGGTGAAGAGCTCTGTCCCCGGAGAGAAGCTCGGAGTAGAGCTGCTGATCCTCCACATCGAGAGAAGCCAGCAGAGGTGGCTCAGGCATGTTTCGAATGCCTACTGGATGCCTACCTAGGCAAAACTGCAGTGGATTCAGGGTTAGATGACAAGATGTTTTGTTTGTAGGACAAAGCAAAAGGCTAACTTGTAGCCAAACAGCTCATTTCATCCCAAAAATAATTTTAAAACTCTAAATTTGCTGATAATAATATGAATGTAATTTCTTTGAGTTGCTTCATGGCAATAAAACTAAGTTAAAATATAAAACTCAAGCAAAATAGTACTAAAATTGTAATTACACAATATCAAAGAAGCAACCTATCCTCTGCACATGGCTTTGAAAAACAACAAGATCTTGACATCACAGCTTTGATCACAAATTAAGCAGGGTATTTCCATGTTTAAGTTCATTTGTTTTTCATATTTCCTAATGATTTTTTGAAGGTCATGATGGGCTACAAATGCACACATAAAGAATGTGTAAATTTTAAACTTTGTGCACATAAAATTGTAAATACATGAACGTGAATTGTGTGTAAATGTATACAAGTGTATATTAATGCATTTTAGGACATGTTGTGCATTTGTGCTGTACAGCCGCAACTATTTTTGGCCAGGGACAAGACGTTGCCGTCAGACCAATACTACACCATTTGTACCATCCCGCGGCGACCCCTTTTAGCCATGTAGGCAAATTGCCATCGGTCCAATGTTTGCTGGGTTGGTTCTGTGTCTCCTTAACATGCATTACAGTGCATTTTGGCATTTCATGTTGACAGAAAAAACTGTGAAATCTCTGTTTATAAAAATACCCATGTATATATACGTGTGGACATGATCTTAGTTGGTTTAGTTGTGTTTGATCAGGGTTGGAGCTGAATTCTGGAGGAAGGCAGATCTCCAGGACAGGATTGCGCATCCCCGTTGTAAAATGTATACATGTATACATTGATACATATTTATTTACTTTTTTCCTATTAATTCACACAGCACTTCACATACTTGTCTCATTGTTGTTCTTGGCGATGCCAATGAGATCGATGTCAATATAGCAGCTTGTTGTGTGTAGTCGAGGGATTTCATCTAAAGTGACATGTGGTCCAACCATGAAGACTTGTCCCTCTGATTAAAAGAAGTCATGAG